ATTTTTGGACTATATCAGCCGAATATAGCGAGTTTTAGAAATATCTACGATGCGTCTCTTTGCGACTTAGCATTCGACAAAACATATTTGAAAACTGGATGAATTTAGTAAACCAATTAGTACTCGAAATGCTAGAAGAAGACTTCTGGAAAATAGGAAAAATCGTTTGGAATGGGCTCGCCGATACGAGTATTTCACGGAAGAAGATTGGTCGAATTTTCTGTGGTCTGATGAATCAAATTTCGAGGTAAGCTTAGTTAAGATTGTCTTAAAATATATACAGCCATAGCTTTCTACCCTAGAGCTGCACGCGTAAGAGAATTGCTGCTGTTATTAAATCGAAGGCGTGATGTACTAAATATTGATGTTATTATCACCAATTCATTGTATTTTCAATGTTGTACTAATAAAATTTCATTTCTCCACATGTTAAAACAAAAAATTCAGTAACTAGTGGGGTGCCTAATATATAATATATACATACATACATTACATATACCTGTAATAATCATTATTAAAATGGATATTCATGAGGTTGGTAATCAAATATTATACTATTTATTATGTTATATATATTCAATTTTACTGAAATGTTGGAAAAAGCTTATTTTTTTTTTAAGTTTACTCAATTTGCAACTATTTTTATTTAACTAATACAGATTGGTTGCTAAGTTATAATTTCTGCTCACGTTGTTTATTTTTCGTTAAAAAAATTAAAATTATGCTGAGATTTTTATTTGTTTACTCAGCGAATAAGAGTTCTGCCTCAATTTTTATTATAAAATCGATGAGAACAATTATTATTATTTTTTCTGTTTATTTCCCATCTAAAAAGGAAAGGCATTTCACTTGATACAAAAACAAGGTAGTCTTATATATATATATATATATACCAATTTAATTAAAAAAGAATAAATTAAAAAATAAAATTTAAAAAAATCATTACATAAATTGCTAAACTTTTCCATGCAAACAAAAAATTAAAGCTTTTTATAAAAAAATATATGAAATATATATAGGTGGCAATTTCTCGAAGTTAAAATGAAAATAAGACAATGATTTCAAAAACTCTTTTTTTGTCGAATTTATATTGAGTGAAACTACCATCCTTTATTTTGTAACATGGGCATTTCATAAACATAAGGGGATATTTAAGAAAAAATGTTTATTCTATCTATTAAGTAGCAGTTGCTATATTTTTGAAGAAAACATATAAGTTGTATAATAATAATTCTCAGTGGAAAAAAATATCAGGAAATAATATCTACATAAAGATTTTTATAGTTTACTTAAAACCGTCGATAAAATTACAATTGTAAAAATATTTTATGTAACGCAATTGAAAAAACCATTCAATACGTACACAAATCAATTGCTTCATTTGAAGGTACTGATTTGAGCTTATACGAATTCCGTCGCGAGGTGGAAGAAACAAAAGCTGTAGAGAAGGAAGAGGCAGTTGATTCTGACTCATTTACGGGTGTTTGCAGCAATTTTTCAAATGAATGCTGAGAACATTTAGCAAATGTATGAAACATTTCACAAAAGATAGAGGACTGAATGCTTGAGATGTCATTGTAGATTTCATCACAGCCGCAAGTACCGCGTAGTTTATCCCAGTTAATACAATTTTAATGGAATTTAACTACTTCGAGAACGCTCTCAGGGTAAAAACTCCTTGCTGAAACTGCCGCCTATTCTCAGACAGATGAAACGGCACTCCTAAGTAGACCAGCCTACAAAGTGAATCATGTGTAAAGCGCGGGATACACGGGCAACTTAAAATTTGCTATGTTTCACTAAAAACTGATCGTTAGTATGTTTTTAACTATTTAGGTTAAGCTCTCGTTTTAAGTTATGATTGAAGTTACGCTAAAATTTAAAATTTTTCATTTCTGTTGCATACCATGCTACAGTGTGAATAGGTATGTAGAGCACATAAACTTTAACATTATTTCTTATGAATGTGCTCCTAAGTTAGCACCATGCAAATATTGCGGAGACTGAAGACTTGAAACATTTTTTTGAAAATGGGGGTCAAAATTAAAAATATATATCACGACCCAAATTTGGGAAACGAAAAGCAGAAACTACAAACTAGATTTTCCTGACTTCGTTAATTGAAACGGCTCACAAAAAAGTGGTTTCCACTGATCCGGATGATGGTACCTTTCTAAGGGAAGATATGATACGGCCAGATTGGTGGTGCCAAACGACCCGGTGGAAGGAATCCGCGACGGCTCAGAAGCTGAAATTGAAACGCTCTCGGTATCTAAATATGTTTGTACTGTTTTCACTCGCTGGGAAACTATGGACGAGGACCAGCTTTTGGACTCTGACACCGAAGGGTAGGATGTCACCATAGTCATGGGCTTCCCCGAGGCAATGAGGACCGAACCCATGGACCTATCACCTCAGGATGGTGCAGACACTTCAGATTAATCATTACCACTCCAAAGCTGCGTCAGCTGCCCTTATTCTGCGCCTCTGTGAAAAAACGGAGGACGTTATCTTAAAGCAAGAGCCCTGGGTAGTTAGAAACAGTATTTGTGGACTGACATCTGATACCCACCAAATTGTATCCTCACCAGGAAAAGGTAGGCTTAGAGCTTACATCCTTTTTAAGAAAAACATCTCTTATTTTTTTCTCTCTCAACACAGCGACGCAGACATAGTCAGCATCGAAATAAAACTGGGGAGAAATACCTGTTAGTACTCTCGTCGTACTTCCCGCTTGATGATACTCTGCCGCCGGTCCGAGTAAAGGATGCTGTAAAGGAGGCGAATCGGAAAAAGCAATATGCAACCGTGGGAACAAACCCACTTTTTTAACCTCTTTTAGGAAGGAATTTCTAGACATTACATTAGTTTCAAACTCCTTTTCTTACCAGATCAGAAACTGGCATGTAGTCAATGAACCATCCTTCTCTAACCACCTATATAATTATTTTCAACTCACTATGAGAACATCAAACGCTTCGTACAGAAATAGGAAGAGGACTAGCAGGACGACCTTTAGGAGAGGGTTGGTAGTATCCATCGCACACGACACTTCTCACGATAAGTTCTGCTTGACTCATCGTCGAAAATTGATGAAGCAGTAGACTTTGTCACCAAAATCCGTCTTGAGGCCTCATACCCTCTATCTATCCCATCTAGAAGGAAAAGGCCCAAATGGAGGAATAACGAAATCTCTCAGCAAAGAAAAAGACGCCGAAAACTCTTTAATGAAGCCAAAATAACAGGTTCATGGCATTTTTATAAGGCACGCCTGAAATCTTTTAAAACGTCTATAAGGAAGGCAAAACGTGATTCTAGGTAGGCCTTCTGCAGCGAATTGACGGAAATGCAGAAGGTAACAGACTAAGAAAAGTTCTATCCAACAGCTCTAAAATCCCAAACTATATCCAGACCCCGCTGGATGGGGAATGGACTACTACTTGTGAAGAGATGCTGGATATCCTCCCGAGCACTCATTTTCCGGGATGTTCCATCGTGTACGACCACATCCCACGCATGGGAGGCGAGCAAACCTCTAATATTAGCAGCCCAACGATGGGCGATAAAGTCATTCCAGTCCTTTAAATCTCCAGGACCAGATGGTATCTTCCCAGCTGAAATACAGAAGGCCGAGGACATCTTATCCCCACATCTATGCAAATTTTACAAGAAAAAGAGTAAGAGCTAACCAGTTCAGTCCTAAGGCCTTTCGGCCCATTAGTCTTACCTCATTCCTCTTAAAAATCTTTGACATCTACATACGGCTGAATCTACCCGCAGGGATGTTGTCGAATGCATCGAAAAAGGACTCGTCTGAAAGGAATATTCGATTGGAATATACCTTGACTTTGAAGGGGCCCTCAACAATATTCTTCCGGAATTTTGTAATAGAGGCTCTTCAAGAACTGGGTTTCCAGAAGCGCATAGTAAATCTTATAGGGTCTCTTCTGAGAAACAAGATGATTTTCGCAGAGATAGGCAGCACCAGCGTTACCAGACACTCCACAAGAGGCACCCCTCAAGGAGGAGTTTTATCGCCACTGCTGTGGTACTTACAGCGAACACGCTGATTAAGAAATTTCACAACTCAGGATATGGTGTGGTGGCATACGCTGATGACTTTGACCTAACAGCCACACAAAGTTATCTCCTCCAAAATGGTCTTTACAATGTTAGAAAATGGTGCAAGGACAGCGGCCTGCACGTCAACCCAGATAAAACCGAAATGGTTCTTTTAACCAGAAGACACAAACCGACTCCTTTTAAGCCACCTAAACTAAAGGGCACAGATATCTCGAAGCTCGATAGGAAATTCAGATGGGTAATTTATTTTCCCTTGCTTTCATTAAATACAATATGAGCATGAGACTACCAGACCACTGTAGCGTTTTCCAGGCGGAACTCTTTGCCATCATGGAGGCTGCTAATTGGTTGCATAAATCTATGGCAGCAGAACAATCGGTTACAATATACTCCGACAGTCAAGCTGCGATCAAATCTCTTCAATGTAGTTGCACCTCATCAAAAGTGCCCATAAAATGTAGGAACTTTCTCAACAAACTCTCTACTATATATAGCACTACCTCTGCCACTGTCCAGCCTTGACATATCTTCGATTGTCTCGCTGAGATAGCCTCAGCAAATATTGGAAATCTCTTTGCCTTTATAAGGCACACGAAATAATTCGATCATCTGAGAAGTTGAAGGCAGGAGAATCAGCGCTATCACAATGGGCATGTGGGCCTAAGTGTGCTGGCAACAGTACCCGCATCAAATCAACTGAACTCAACGTCTAAACGTTGTTGCATTCTTTCCTCCCTTTCTGCTGTCGATTTACACTTCATCATTTCTACCTACCAACACCTTCTCCGTAAAACTACAATTTCTTATCGCTCGTAATACGAATTTATGCTAACGCAACGCAGAACGCTTCAATTTAGGTGTTACAGTAAGCAAGAAACAGTCGTGTCGTGCCGCCGCAATTGTGTTGAGCCTTAAAAGTAATATTTTATTTACAAGTGTCGCGGAATTTGTTTGGATTGGTGGTTGCATTGTATTTGAAAGGAAGTAAACAATATATTATCTCTTATTTCTTATGGATCGTTGCAAAAGTGTTTCGAGTGCCAGAGCACCGAAGAAATCATCTGGTCCAATGGGAAATGAATTTTTTCCATTAGGTGCCAAAGGCGGTAGGGAAGATTCTAAAAAAGGAGTAACCTCTAAAGGCAACTCGCTGGTGCCGGATCGTAAGCGCGAAGCAACTACTTCAGCTTCAAATACTAGTAAAAAGGCAAAATTAATGCGATTTGATGAAATGTTTGGATTTCCGATACATGGATCTTGGGACCAATACGCGATTGATTGTGAAACAACAGAGTTAATAACCATTATAAACGAAATTTGTAACCAGTTAGATGATAATGCTCTTCGTGTGTTATGTGGTTCAGTAAAGCATCTTATGGAACCCTATGCTCGGAGCAAATTTGATTACGTACTTTATTTAGGGCTGTTATATTTGTCAAAACTGCAACCGACGGCTTTCAGTCATGACATTCTCACTTCAGCCCTTCTTTACTTATTGAGAAGAGAAGTAAATATAAAAATAAAGCAGAGTCCCTGTTCTCAAGCGATTGCCTCAAATTTGTTAACCAAAGCATATTGCGATAAAATGAACTGGCCGGAGCATTTTATGAGAATTTACATAGAAGATGCCATTAATGAAAGAATATGGACAGATAATGACTTATGTGCACCTTTTATTAAAAATATTTGCTCCGTTTTTAAAACAAATATTCCTCCCAACTGTACCATGCAATTTGAGCCTTCAGTTTTTGGAGTATCAACAAGTCAACAACATCGAGATATGCCTTTATCCTTGGAAGATGATTCTGGGGACGGTAGTTCAAACACTATAGAATCAATAGGCTTTGGAATAGATGCTGAGTCACCATATTTTGTTCTTAATAGGTTTTCCGACACAGAGGCAGTTGTAGAAAAAATGGTAATTGATGCAATAAAGGATCAACTAAATAAGAGGCAACAAACAGACTGGTATACTCGGAACTTTTTAAAGTTTTTATGTTCAACTGCAGGCTTAAGCGAAGTTCGTTACCTGAGTATAACACGTCTTGAGTTATGGATTCATAATGCTAAACTTATTAAACATGCACAACAACTGCTGTACTATATTTGCTTTAATATCAAAGAAACTATACAAAAAGATCATGAAGTTCTTGCCAATCTAGTTAAAATACGACTAAAAGCAAAACCTTCGCTGAATATGTTTTTGTTGTGCATTAAGGAATTAATAACTCTGCAACCTAACGTACTTAAACTAATACTGAAGCTTGTAGTTCAAAACGAACTTTCAAATACTAGGAATCCAAATAATATGGGAATGATTGGTAAGTCAAAATAATTATTAATACCTATGTGAGGTTTTTACAGAGTGCAGGAATTCTCACTCACTGCTCATTTATGTATGGAAGAAACGTTTTAGTTCTTGAGACCTGTTAACGTATTTGGGATTCTATATGTATTGTATTTTATAAGTTTATTTATATAATATTATAGATTCATAAATAAGATTTTTTGTATAGGTCCCTGAAATAATCCTGTTATTCTAAGCCAATGGTGTTCTTTCTGGAAAGAAGTCTAGTCTTCCTATTAATCTAAGCAAAATACCACCGAAACTATTTTCAATGTTGACAACACACACAAGTGAGAAAACAGACTGAAAACAATTTTTTTGTAACAAACAGATATAGAATACATACAGTGGCTCAATAAAGAACTGGGACATACATTCCACTGTTATTAACATGCCACTTCTAGCTAGATTTTTTTTTAACCAACTGATATTAAGCATTTTTGTTTTTTATGTTTGAATAGGGTATCCAATAAGGATTAAAAAAAAAACGTTAACAAACAAATTAAATAGTTTATAGGTCTCCTATACCCTCACTTCAAAAAATTAACATATGGCATGCTAGAAATTTCGCCAAAAAAGAAGTCGGACATCTGGTAGTATTACAGTTGCTTGGCATTTTAAAAAGGGGAATCTCACAATTAGTTTGTTTTCGTTTAGAAATACATATGCATATAATCAAACGTAATAGCTTAAAATAAAATTTCAGTAATATTTTTTTTTGGAAAAAAAAGGTGAAGAGTTCAAACATGGGTAGACAGCGTGGGCAAAGTTCAATTGAAGTATGGAAGTTAATTATTAGTCATTTTGAAATAGGAAAAACCATTCGAGAAATCGCTGAAATTGTGAGCAGACCCCACTCGACTGTGCATGACGTGATTAAACGATTCAAACAAACAAAATCCGTGGAAAAGAAAAAGAAGTCTGGACGACCGAAGTTGTGTTCGGCTGCAGATGGACGGTGGATAGTGCAGCAAATCAAAACAATTCCAAACACTAGCGCTCCTTAGCTCTCAACAGAAGTTTTGCAACATCTCAATATAAATTGTAATCCGGAGAGTATCCGAATAGTCTTACGAAAAAATAATTATAATGGAAGAGTAGCACGGAAGAAACCATTTATAAACTAGGTTAACCGAAACAAAAGGATAAAATTTGCAAAATGTCATGGGGATAAGGATTTTCAATTCTGGAGGCAAGTTTTATTTGCAGATGAAAGCCAATTTAATATATTTAGGTCAGATGGACAGTCGTATGTTTGAAAAAAACCGAATGAAGAGTTGCTAGAAAAGAATTTACGTTCGACTGTTAAACACGGGGGCGACTCAGTAACCCCATAGTATGTCTGCAGCTGGTACTGGAAATTTGTGTTTCATAAATGGTAATATGGACCACAAGCAATATCTGACCATTTTAAAAGAAAATTTAGTGCAAAGTGCGGAAAAGTTGGGAATGACAATTTCCAGTACTACCAAGACAACAATCCCAAGCATAAAGCACTTGATGTCCGTCTATGGTTGATGTACGAGTATAACTGCCCTAAAGTGCTTGAAACACCTCCTCAATCTGCCGACATTAATTAAGAAAGACCAAGAGGCCGCTATTTTGGAAGAGTGGGGAAAATAAATTCTTTAACATGCAAGAAGCTAGACTTGACACGAGGACTATGTGGTCGAATCTTTTCATGATTCCATAGGTCGGTAGCTCGTTTGTAACGAGATTAACGAGTAAATGATTATCGGAGAGAGATCCGATAGTTAAACTGCAAATGCTGTGTGAGTTTGGCAGCTTTTTTTTTTAAACCCTTCAGTTGCAATTTAACAACGTCTGTTGCTTTAGCATGGATCGGGGTGGTAAGTTTGCGTTGGCCTTTTTGCTCTTCTTCAGCAAACTGTGACCGTGTAACGTAGAATGGGTTGCTCTCCATTACAAGTAGAACACCTAGTCTTACTAGTGCAGTCTCAGGTTTTGCGTGAACGGGCCAAACAGTTGACCCAGTACTTATGTCGTGTCGCTGTGTCAAACTCATTGCAATATATTGGAGCATGTCATCAAGCTATGCTCCTTTTTGCAAATTCCGCATGCAACGTGCTTATAAGCGGGTTTCAAGTGTCTCTTTAAGTGGGTTATAGTACGTTGTACTGTGCGATAAATGGATGAATGAATGGATGAATGGTAAGTCTTTTCTATACGACCTAATTTCCATTCATTTGTGGGTAGGGTTTCTTGCCGAATAACTACAAAATCTCCAATTTCTACATTGCTTTGATTTATAACCCTTTTGGAGTTCTTTTAGTTATTCTTAGTTTCTACCATCTTTTCACGATACTGAGCTTTGCGTCTTCTAGATTGGGTTCAGCTGGGGTGAGTAACGGAGCACCGATTAGGAAATGGGCTGGGGTTAAAAGTTCCAAACTTGTTTGGTCATCCCTGATAGGGTTTAGGGGGCGAGAATTCAAATAACTTTCTATTCGGGTTGCCAATCGTGTGAATGCTGCCATAAATGCTTCTGTAGTAATATCACTTACGGGTTCTAAGTGTATTGCTCTTGGTAATTAAGCATGCTCTTCCGGTCTAGTTTTTTATTTCGTAAAGTCCAGCGAAATCAATTCCTGTTGCTGCGAGTGCGCGGGTTAGGATGGTACGTTCAACTGGTAATGCTGCAATTATTTGAGTTTGGGCTTTTTTGTACAGTACGCAAGTTTTACACTGATGAATCGTTATTTTTTTTTTATAAGGGGCTTCAATTTTGGAATCTAGAACTGGTTTCCTCCATGTAGTGTTATTGAGTTGTAGGGTAGTAGAATCGGATGAAGTTCGTTGTGTGAAAGCGCAGCTGAATTACTCAAGCGACCATTAACTCGCATGATTCTTTTGTTGTGGATTGATGGGATAATGCTCAAAATAGAGTCCAAGCTTCATGTTCCTCATGAAAGTATCTTTTCTGAGCTAAGGCAATTAGCGCGGAACGGGTTGATTTAAATTCGTTTGTGGTTATTTCGACGGTTGTATTTTGTTGTTGTAGCGGTTCGCTATCCCTGCTTAAGTACAGGTTTGATCAATCTAAGTCGCCGAGGTCATCTAGTGGGAGATTCAGGAAACGAGCTGTTTCGACGGTGTTGGACCAAAGGGAGAGAGGGGTTAGATGAGTTGGTTTGGTGGGAGGGCATGTGAAGAGGTGATTAGTGTCGTGCGCAGACTGTACACATCCAGGGCATACGATGGGTATGCTGGGGTCTAATCTGGATAAGTAGGAAGTTAACCTGCTACAATATCCAGAGCTGAGTTGTGTCAGGGTCACGCGGGTCTCTCGAGGCAGCTCCAGCTCGTTGTCTGCTATAGGTGGTGGTTTTTCTCCGAGCACGCCATACGCTGGAAGGGAGTCCTTGAAGGTGTTAACTGACTCCTGGTTAATGGCGTTCAGTGCTTGTGGATACGCCGTCCTGTACAGCGGTTGTTGTGTGTGTTGCTGGATCGTGTCCTTAAAGTCTAGTACTCCCTTTCTGATGTGCCTATGTGGAGGTTCAGCCTCTATTAAGTGCCTACTGGGGTGGTCCCTGCGGTAGCATCCCAATAGGAACTGCTTTCACAGCAAAGCATAATGCTCCTTAACTCGTGCAAGTGATGCTCCGGCGACATCAGGAGGTTTCCTGTCGCTGTCCTGAGGGCGGTGTTTTGGCAAGCCTGTAGCTTCTTCATCTGCGTCTCGTTCGACCCCGCGCCCAGATCGTTGCAGCATAGTTTACGACCGGCCGGCCAATTACCCCTACGAGTTAGGGGCTTAAGAATTTACCCGTGGTAAGGCTTGCCTGTCGTAAGAAGCGACTAAAATCCAATAGTTCCCGCGACAGTCGGGTCTTTATACCGGAACGACCCGGATTTTTATCCGGTCAAGGACTGTCACTCTCGCAACATTCCCCGAAAACCAATTCGGGGAATAATTTGCGGTTACAACAACAACAACAACCGGCCGGCTAATCGCTTTATAAGTTGCCAGCAAGCTTTCTTTGTCCTTACCCCAGGTGCTGCCGGATAGCGCTTTGAGTATTTTGTTGCGGCTCTGGAGTTTTACGGCAGTCGCGGTCGTATGCGGAGTGAAGGAGTGCAGGCTGTCTAGTGTGACTCCCAATATCTTTGGGTTATTTACCATCGGAATTTTTGTGTCATCGACCTTAACATCTAGTTCAAGCCTGTACTCCTTCGTCCAGCTGGTGAAGAGGGTAGCCGAGGATTTGGTCGGTTTTATTTTTAGCTGGCTTGCAGTGAAGAAGTGAGAAAGATCGGTGAGGGAGTCGTTCACTTTCGAACAGAGGTCGTCAATATCCTGGTCAGACTCCATTATCGTACAATCATCAGCATACGAGGTTTGGGAAAGTCCTTCTGGTGGTGGAGGGAGTTTCCAGATGTAGAAATTGAACAGTAGCGGGGAGAGGACACCACCCTGCGGAGCCCCCGGTTAAATTTATCTAGGTTTAGATGTTACACCTCGGAAAATTACCGATGACTGTGCACCACTCAGGTAGCCCATGATCTACCCCTGCAACCTCGGCGGTAATGAGGGTTTCCGCGACAGTCGGAACGACCCGGATTTTTATCCGGCCAAGGACTGTCACTCCCTCAACATTTCCCAAAAGGTTCTTTGGGGAATAATTTTGCGGTTACAAGAACAACAACAACAGGATTCCTCAATGTTCGTTAGTAGCACTGATTGACTCTGTCAAAAGCTTTTGACAAATTCAGTGCTACTAGGGCAGTTCGTGAAATTTCCACCCGGTCATCGCGTCTCGTCGGGTTAGACAGCGACTTGACTGTGGCCCAGAGCTTGGTTGCCCAGAGGAGAGGTTGCAGGTTCTTAGGTGTTCCTCCCACTTTTTTTTAGCTTATTTATGTTGACTACTCTTCGAATCTCCGCGTTTAAGTCCCTGATTAGGGGATTCCCGGGATCGGAGCTTCGGAGGGTGTCGCGCATGGATGCTA